TATATTATATTTTTAATGACTAAATTGAAAATGTATCAAAAAATATATTGAACCTAGATGGTATACCAACCATTTTCCTTTTAAAAAATGCTATTAAAGTGTTCACTACTGACTTGCAGCTCAGCATTCATGAGTCTTCGCTCAAGGTTTCCCCCCAAATCTAAAGCTTCTAATGAAAATACAGAAATTACATCTAGTTTAGAATCAGTTGGAAGCAATTCTGATGGTAGCCAATATTTCGTTTCTGAACCTGAACCAGAAAGGAGGCGAAATTTGGGAAATTTTGCAGATGCTTCTTTGGTTGGTATGGTGGAAGAACCAAGTTTGATACAAATTGAAGATATCACATCAAATTCAAGTCCTTGTCACCAAGAAGAGTTGATGAGTTCCTCACAAACTATACCAAATCATGAACCAGGAGTAACGGAAAGTCAAAACACAAAGCCGCAGCAAAATTATGACACAATGACCCAAAGCAAGAAAAGGAAGAGAGTGGGAACAACAAAGGTAAAAGAACAAGATTTTTCTGGGAAGGAGTGGAATGCAGAAAAGATAAGTACTGCAAAAGGGAAGAATAAAGGTGTGAAAGAGAATAAAGTAAACAGTACCGACTGGGATGCTTTAAGAAGAATGTACTCCACCAGCGAGCCAAGAAGTAAAGACCAAATGGATTCTGTGGACTGGGAAGCAGTTAGGCAGGCAGATATTCATCAGATAGCAGACGCAATCAGAGATCGTGGGCAACAAATTATAATTGCTGGACGGATAAAGGTAAAAATATACTATGTAATGGGAATACCATATCTAGGGAAAACTCTTGAGGTACATGTGCATTTTAAATAGTGTGTTTTGATTTATTCAAGTTGCTCATGTTCACAGGATTTTCTAAATCGATTGGTTGAACTACATGGAACGACTGATCTAGAATGGCTTCGAAATGTTCCACCAGATAAAGCAAAGTAAGCCTATATATGATTTAAGCAGGCTGGTTAAAGGAGAATTTTATGCTCATGCCTATAGACTATTACATACTTGTAGGGAATACCTGTTGGAAATACGAGGGCTTGGGTTGAAAAGTGTTGAGTGTGTACGGCTTCTGACACTGCAAAATGTTGCCTTCCCGGTAAGATTTAATTAAAAGTAACAATCCAGCAGAAAACTGGATTGCTTAATTAATTAATTTGTATTTCACATTTCATAGGAACTCAATAAAAAAACCTAGGAGAAATCTTGGTTGTTACTTTTGATTTCCTAATCAGCATACTACTCTTGCCATCCTGATATATCTAAAAGAACATACACTCAATTGTTAGCTTTAGATTGGTGAGAAAGGACAATGATATTGTTAGCAGAAATCAGGCAGTATAAATAATAGGTACATAATTCTCAACAGCATTATTCAAGCTCAGCAATTGCTGCAATTGAATGAAGAATTAAATTACCAACCTGTTCCAAACAGATGCTCAAAAGCATGAATTACCAGCAAACTAACACCCTGAATTGTTGGTCAGCGAACTCACCAATTATTTTGTTTCTTCACAAGGTTGACACAAATGTTGGTCGAATAGCAGTCCGGCTGGGATGGGTACCCCTCCAGCCACTTCCTGAAGAACTTCAGATACATCTACTTGAAGAGTAAGCTTTCCATTCAGATAAGCTAACTGTTTAATATTTTCAACAGAAAAAAGAAAGAAAATTACTGATGAGGTTTTAATGTAGGTACCCAGTGATGGATTCTATTCAGAAGTATCTCTGGCCGAGACTTTGCACTCTTGACCAGGAAACATTGTAATCCACTCTCCATTAAATTATATTCATTGAGCAGATTTGTGTCTGCGCACGTGCTTGCTTAGTCCCAACTGAAAAACATTAACCAATATGACATATTATATCTTGCAGGTATGAACTGCACTATCAACTGATAACTTTTGGAAAGGTATGTCAATCTTCACCATAAATGTTATTAAAGAATTAGTCTTTTTCTGATTTGATTTATCTAATTTAAAATGCAAAAATAATATCCACATGTTTCAATATTTGCACAGGTTTTCTGCACCAAGAGAAATCCAAATTGTAATGCTTGTCCAATGCGAGGAGACTGCAGACACTTTGCAAGTGCATTTGCAAGGTTCATATCATGATAATGCTTGGTATTCTTAACTACAAAGCGATGACATAGATGGATGACAGTCATTGCATATGCAAATCCCATTCTATTAAAAAATAATTGGGTAACTTACCATGCACATGCTTATCCAAAATATCTAAAACAGGACAAATAACTTATACTTTCTAGACCTCACAGAAGATTTGGTTCTCATCCTTTCTATTCTTTTTATCAGATATCAACATGAGTGTGCTACCATTGCTAGATTTTTTGTATGCTATAAGCTACTATAGTAACATTTAGATTTAGATCAGATAATACCTTCTAATAAGCCAGACCTGATATAAAATATTTGATGTAGCGCAAGGCTTGCTCTACCAGGGCCTTCAGACAAAAGGATGGTGAGTTCAGCAGTCCATACAGTTCATAAAAAAAACCCAATATCAGTGCCTGAACTTCCAGAATCTGGATACAAAGCCAAGAACCTTGAACCCATCATTGAAGAACCCATCATTGAAGAACTGCCATCACATGTACTTGAAGCTCAAGAATCAGAGGAACCAGAGATTGAATATGATTCTGAAGGAATCCCTATTATCAAACTCAGTGCTGAAACGTTCAGGACAAACATACAGGACTTCATGGATAAAAAGTTTCAAGATGGTATTGGGCAAAGAGCATTAGTTGCTTTGAATCCAATAGCAGCTTCAATCCCTGCCCGGAAATTAAAGGATGTCAGTCGCTTAAGATCAGAGCATCAAGTGTAAGTAGATATTTTCATGTTTTAAAAAAAACAATAACGTGCCTAGTTGTTTCTTCAACCCAACCATTTTAAAATTATGATGACATGATGAAAACATTGCAATCCTATTCTCATGCAGCTATGAACTTCCACCAGGCCACCCTCTTCTAGAAGGGGTAAGCCAACTCACTCTTATTGCAATGAACCATGCTACTTTACATGTTTTAAGTTAATCTATCTAATTCCTATGAATATTGCAGTTTGAAAGGGATCCAGATGATAGGTATAATTACCATCTTGCTATATGGAGACCAGGTACAATTCCAACCATGGTATTTTTATGCATAAGCCTATTTATACCATCATGAAGCATTGTCATGAGCTAAATTGGGGCAATTTGTGATGGCAGGTGAAACAGCAGACTCAACTGATCCACCCCAAAAAACATGTGATTCTGAAGGGTCGGACCTTTGCAATGACCAGAGATGCTTTTCTTGCAACAATATTCGGGAACAAAATTCCAATGTAGTTCGTGCCACATTTTTGGTGAGTGAAAACCAATAGGATCCATAATTCAAAAAGGGTAAAGCAAATAACATGTATTATGTATCATGATAACATATGTCTGGTGGCTAAACTATCATGTGAAAAGAACTGATTACTGACAATGTATTTACAGATACCCTATCGAACAGCATTAAAAGGCAGCTTCCCACTCAATGGAACATACTTTCAAACAAATGAGGTGAATTATTTTAACTCAGGGCTTCATTGTTTTCCATAACTACAAAATTTGAAAGCAAACAACCTCACTATAGCACATAAAATATCCTGTGCAGGTATTTGCTGACCATCAAACTAGTATTGAGCCCATTTATGTTTCAAGGGATTTGATATATAATCTGAAAAGAAGAACTGCATACTTTGGAACATCAGCAGCAGCAATACTTAGAGGTCAGTAATTTTCATAAATCACGGACAAAAACAAAAGAGAAGAGCAATCAATACTTAACAACATATTTACTAACGTTTTAATTTGTTTGAATCAGGTGTTGATACAAAAGGTATTCAGCAATGCTTCTGGAAAGGTATGAAATACATCATTATAAACTGTTCAGAGTTGCTGCTCTTACTGTCCTAGATTTCTCCTTGTCTTTTTCTCCTTTTTTTTTTCCTTTGTAAAGGTAAATCACAGGAAGCCTTGTTCATTTGGAAGCTAATCTGCTAGCCTGAGTTCTACTAAGGATCATTCTAGTTCATAAGAATTTGAAGAGCATTAAAAAACACTCATATGCACATCAATAATCTCCCTCTTCCCACATCCCTTGAGAGTAAAATTAATTTTGTTTTAACAAAAAAAGTGTATTAGGTACAGTAGTTAGTATCTCTTAGTTATTTCTCTAATCCTGAAGATAGCAGAAGTTAGCTTGAGGGTTTTTCCCCACTACACATGCTTGGTCACAGTACACTCAAAAACTAGTTAAGTAATCTTCATGTGCTTTAAAAAAATTAGGAATATCACATATATCTAGACTTCATTTTATACAGTGAATTTATGCCTATAAATAAATGTTATTGTCTCTTGCCAAACTAAAACCAATTCAAATTGCTGACATTTTTATATTATTATCTCTTGTTATGAATTGAGTTTGATTGATATCATTATGTGTCTACAGGGATCATTTGTGTTAGAGGATTTGACCGGAAAACCGGGGCTCCAAGACGTCTTGTAAACAGATTACATTGTTCAGAACACAAGTTGGGGAAGAAGGGAAAAGTAAAACTAAGTGATGAGTAGGTAGATAAAATGGCACAAAGCAGCAAGGCAACATATCTCGAAAATCATTGTTCATATATTTGAGGATAATTGTTTATGACTGCATTCATGTATAGAAATTTAGTTTTGCCATAAATTTGAAGTTAGAAATCATCTCTATAAAAACTTGAAAAATGTTTTGCATCTATTCTCCCAATGCCAAGATCTAAACATCAAAATCTAAACATAATATCTGGACATAAATCAACCGAAATCTTTATCAAAATTGAAAAATACCTGAAAATATATGGTTCCGGACCTGATTCAGATATGTAACAAGATGAAAGTGAACTTGATAACTAAACAGTGAAGGCAAAATTACCTGCAATAGAATAAGATAGCAAAAAATAAATAAGATTGGGTTTGAAGCTTACAGGAGAATGAATCGGAAAAGTATATACAAATTATAAGACTCCTCTAGTTTTGCAGAAACAGAAATTTGCTTACAAGAGAATGAATCGGAAAACATCCAGCGATATACCGATTGGTAGAAAGTATATCGTTCCTCCTTAAATTCTACAGAAACAGGAATTTGCGTACAAGAGAATGAATCGGAAAACATCCAGCGATATACCGATTGGTAGAAAGTATATCGTTCCTCCTTAAAGTCTGCAGAAACAGGAATTTTGAGATGAAACGCATGGAAGAATTGGAAGCCTCAAAACTCTTAGCCACCGTCCATCTCAATTGACAGATCTGGTTGAATACAGATAATCGAAGGGGATCTCAAGAAATCATCCATGGAATCACATTGAACAAGATGAAGAAATTAGATGATATGGGTGGGTGGGGAGCTAAAGAATGAAGGAAAGGGGATGAAAACGGAAGGAAATTGAGGGGAAATCGGATAGAAATCGAGAAAAGTTTGGTGCGTTTTATGAGAATTGGTTTGATTTAAATTCAATTTGATAGAGGTAATTGCCTAATTGATATCAATGTAATTGTTTTAGGCGGGAGAAAAACGCGGGAGAAGACAAAAGTAAAAGGCTAGAGGGAAGGCGCAAAAACAAAAAAATAAAAATAAAAATAGTTTTCAATATTTATTTATTTATTTTATATAAAATTAAAAACAACTAAAATAAAACAAACATTCCATCAATTACATGTTCCTTTAAATGAAAAAAATTTGATTTTTTTAAAATAAAATTTTAGATTTAAATCTTGTAAATAGAGAAATAGATACCGAAAGAATTTTTTTTTATAAAATTAGACATAATTTAATTTTAAATTAATTAAAATTTAATTCACTGTAACTTTCAAATAAAAAAATTAATATAATAAAAATAAAACAATCACTTTA